CACAGTGTGATGCCATAAGACATCAACGAATGAAAATACGCATAATACGTCTGCCTCAATACCACATTGGAGACAAGAGGACGCAGTTTCCTCAGTGCGTATGCAGCACTTCCAAGTTTTTGACATAGAGTTTGTATATGTGACTTCCAGTTCAAATTTGAGTGTATGTAGTAGTTGTTAAGAAGATTGCATGCTTTGTATCCTAGTAACTTGTTATTTTCCTAACATCTTCGTCAATTTTGTACCTTTCGTAACAAACACTTTATAAAACATCGTTTGCAATATAGATTCACGTTATTACGTTAATAGTACTATGGGGTGCGCCTCGTTTGTGTGATAATCAAATACAATGCAACACCCCATTTATACGTCCCACTGCTGGGTACGGGTCTCTTCTCGGGTGTTTACTGCCCACTTTGAGAATAAATTATTTTTTAGCGCCCCCATTTTTTCACCTACTTAAAAACCACTATAATTTCAAATTAATTATTGTGAGCTATATTAACGGAGATTAAACATTCATTCTAAACGAGACTTTTACTATAACCCGCAAGAGTTAACTTGAGACCTGAGCGCAGTACATAGTACACAACGGCGCTCAGGTCTCAAGTTAACTCTGCCAATGAGAATGATTATTGAAACGCATCTTGTTAGTATTCAGACAGAGTATCTTTTATTCAAAATAAAACAAACATAATCGATTCTAATATAAAAACGAATGTGAAGGATGAATCTCATGCTGTTTAATAAGTTTGTTGATATCAGGTTCCAATTTACTCAAGAAAAGCCGCAAGTCACCACATTCGGTAACACGCAAACGATTTCTCTTTTTAATAAGCAGCGTTGTCACAGCACTAAAACCACGTTCACACAAATATGACGATGGGAATGCTATCAAGAATCGTTGAACGATTGACCACAATCCAGGGTACAATTGCGGGATCGGTTTTTGTAGCCAAAATTCTTGGTAGCCATTTTTGAACTTGGTTTTTATTTCCTCGTTCGTTGTCAATGCTAGAAGTTCTTGTTCCAGCTGAGGTGATATTGCTGTGTTCACATTTGAAAACGGATCCAACACCCAGTCTGGTATTTCCACGTTCAAAATGTCCTGGTATCATTCGGTGAAGTCAATGTGGAGGTTTTCCAAATGTTGGCAGTAGGCAAACAAGTCGTCGTTACTGCAGGATACTGATAAATTCAGAAAATTGTGAAACTCACGTCTGCCCATATTCTTTTTGTTTAGAAACAGTTTGGCTGCGAAAGCAGGAACGACATTTTTTGTTTTAATTAAATTTAGTTCATCGCCTTGCAGTTGGAGACTCATGTCGTTGAACAATTTACACAGGTCTATCATGTAAGCTATATCATTCTTTGATGTAATGAGCTTGTTGCGCAATCCTGTGTCTTTAGTTTCCAAGATCTCTATCACAGAGTCAAACAGGTTGTAAAATCGAGTCAGACAATTGCCTCTTGATAGCCAATGAACTTCAGTATGAAACAACAAACGGTTGAAATCTTCGTCATTAGTAACACAAAGCTGATGAAATAATCTATCATTCAAAGAGCTGTTACGGATTTTATTGACTGCTTTGATGACATATTGCAGTGATTCAAATAGTCGTTCACTTAAATTTCTAGCAACCAAATGTTGTCTATGAATAACGCAATGTACAGCAAGGAAATCAGGAAGTTTATTTTTTAAGTACGCTATGAAGCCTTTATGGTACCCTGTCATAGCCGGAGCGCCATCCATAGCAACTGATGTAATATTTTTCAACCTCTTTCTCATAACAAAATTTTTCCAATTTATTGAATATGGTTTCGCCTTTTGTATTGGTTTCTAAATTTCTAGCAAACAATAGTTCTTCACATATTTCCTCATCTTTAATAAACCTCACGTAAGACCGCAACAATGCTTCATTAGTTGGTAAAGTGGACTCATCGAGCTAAATTGAGAATTGATTAGTCCTCAAATGATCCACAATGATTCTTTGTTTTCAGCCATTTCATCAATACGTCTTTGCACTGAATTATTACTCAAAGGAATTTTTCGGATAATATCTGCGGCCGGTTTATGAAGCACAGTAGTTATTACTTCCTTTATTGCTGGCAAAATTAAGTCTTCCCCGATGTTGTGTGGTTTGTCTTTTTGAGCAATTAACAAAGAGATATTGCACGAAGCTCGAAGTCCGTCGTCATCTTTTTTTTTTTTTATATACTAAGCTCGACAGATGACTCCGTCCCACCTGATGTTAAATGAAACGGAGTCCAGACGCAAGGACAACTGGTGCAGCGTGAAAACAACGCATCATCAGTCGCCCTCACCCTGCCGGCCTACAAGGTGCTTCTTCTTGCTTAGCAGCCGCCGAAAAGAGTTTTGCTACACTTACTTGGCTGAGTATTATGCTTCTTCTTTAGGTCTTGAAAATATGCTACATTCTGGTCTTTCTTATCTGGAAGCATTTTATTCAAATGATCTTGCAGTCTTGAAGGCTTCATTGCTTCATTCGAAAATGTTTTTAGACATAAAAGGCACAAAGGCGACGATTGGTTTGTGGGATTTTCAATGAATCCGAATTTAATATATTCCGCACAGTATTGCCGTTTCTTATTTTTTACTTCCAACATTGTTTTGAGAAATACGTAAGTAAGTGTTGAACTTAAGTACTGCTTATCTATTACGCGCGAAACCGCAAATGAAAATAAAATAACTAATAAAATAAAATAAATTGTTTATATAGGATTGCATAAGCAGCACGCACCGACAGAAATAAGACAAACATGCATAAACTCGTTTATCTCATTCGACGCTCAATCGTACTCAACAAGTAAGAACAAGTATTCTATGAACCAGCCGATTGATACAGGAAGGCACAAATCGGGTTATTTAACAAAATTTTTTTAAAACATGATTGCCCGCGGTCTATTATCTACGAAAATTAACTATCTAGGAATACTAATAAGTATTAAAATGCGAAACCGTGTCTGTTGCCTTTTTATTCGTTTGTTTGTTTGTGCCTACTTTCGTTTCGAAACGGAGCGACCGATTGACGTGATTTTTATTTTATTTATTCAATAAAACAGGACAGATATATGAACTACACGGACAGAAATATCGAACCGAGTTACTTTGAGCAATCTCTTAATTAATATTAGTTGATGTTCACAAGTTGTAGTCGACAGTCGAGAGGTCAGTCGGTGTCTAAGGGTCGTATTCTAGAACTCTATTCAATGCTCAAGTCAGGATTGCACGGGCAACACAAGCACTGGAAATACGACCCTAATAGCAGGGACTTGAGCGATATCAAGTGCTTTAAACCATACTCAAATCCTAACTTGAGCATTGAGTAGAGTTCTAGAATACGACCCTAAGAGTCTTCCTAGATGAAATTACAAATCTCCCCCTAAGCCTCTACACAACGCCCCCATTTTTTCTGGGTCTCTTACCGCCCCCCTTTAGGCCTGCAGCGCTCACAAGGGGGCGTTATCGCCCACTTTGAGAAAGGCTGGTTTAGGCTTTAGTTCGCCACGCTGAGCCCATACGAGTTGGGAACTTCACGCGTTTCCCGAAGGTTGTGAACCTTCTTCGACGGCAAAACCAAATAAACTAACTTTAATAGACAACTTTAGGTCGCTCAATATAATTATCACTTGGACTAAATACACTTCCTATAACTAAGAGTCGTATTCCAGAACTGTACTCAATACTCAAGTCAGGACTTGAGCAGACTTGAGCATGATTTCAAGCACTGGAAACACGACCCTAATGGCAAGGGCTTCAGTATGATTTACAGTGCTCACTGCAATACTCAAGTCCTGACTTGAGTATTGAGTAGAATTCTAGAATACGACCCTTAATTTCATATAATCCTCCTTTGTAGTAATAGATATTCACATTTTATAAGAATATCTTGTATAAAACTCTTTTCATGTAACAATAACTTTATGTATTGTTCATTGATTTACACTACTTCTCTGCAGTAAAAACCAAGCGCGTAATGTCGTCGCCTTCTTAAAATTATGTCACCTAAGTTCTTTTTTATGCTTTCGATTAGTCTTAAGATATTATCACTATTTGTTTTTGTAAGTGATTTATATGGTTAAATTAATATTCACACTTTTCTTTCTTTTAGTTCTTTTTATTCTGCAACAATTTATTGTGCACATAGTTTTAAGTTTCTTGCATTTATGTTTCTGATCTTTCATTGGTGTAACAATTGTAGACTGACCAAATAAATAAAAAAAATGGGATCATTTTTAGAAGGTATTTATTTGCATCTGTAATGAGCGCCTCTCTTTTAGTAGGTTAGGTTGGTATATGAAAAAGCCTGAATGTCGGTTTCCGAACAATTTATTTAAGTTTTATAATCTATCTAGTTATATAAACTGAGGTTTATAACTTATAATTGTTATTTAAATTGAATGTTAAGATTAATGATTGTTATCGAAAATGAAGTTATAGAATGTAAACTTAATGTAAATTAAACGTTCGTTATAGTAAGTGAATTGTGATGTGAAAAAAGTATATATTAAATAAAATTATATTATATAAAATTATATTGTATAATAATAATAACGCACACACTCAACACAGCCCCGCACTAGGGAAACCCTGTGTCGCGGGTGCCATGGACACACACATAGACAACTACAAATTACACCCAAACTCACGCGAGAAATAAATGTAGGCCATACAAATATTTCTCCCGGCCCGGTAATCGAACCTGGGACCTCTGCGTGGCAGTCCGGCACGGTAACCGTTATTATTTATACATACAGTTGTAGTTAATAAGCGTTAGTTATTATATATACAGTTATAGTTAATAAGCGTTAGATTAAAAATATTTACATAATATATTATGTACATTCTTTTACAATAATATTACCTCTTTACTCCTAGGGGGACTGTACAATTTGGCAAACTATTATAATTTCAAAAGATGTGGAAAGAATAATAAATATTGGTAGGCGAGACTAAATATTATTTTCCATTTTTCCAGGTGTGTTTGCCCTATTAATGGCAGTGGGTGCCCTTAAATACATACACAGCCTGAACCCGAAGGGCCAATGGAAGAAACTGCTCATAGTGGGAGGTCTAATCGCTGCCGGTGTTGTGTTTTTAGTCGTCGTTCTGCTTACTTATTTGGGAGTCATTGCGCCATGGAGTGGACGGTTGGTATCCTTCATCACATGGCTTCATACATGGACTGGGACAAATCCTCCACCTTCCAATAACCCTATCAACCGTCTTGGTGATACTGCTAGGGGCTCTTTTTTTGACTCATTACAATCTTGTCCCAGTGATCCCTTCTTCCTTTTTTGTGGTATGACTAACGTGACCATTTTTTCTTTCCCTCAGAGCGAGACGCCTGTCAATTTATTGTTGTTTTAAAAATGAAACACATGTTTATGATAGTTACTAAATGTTTAATGATCAAATAATTAAAAAAAGAACTAATTTTGTGAAAACGTGTGTTGGCTTTATTTTATTTTTGGATTTCGCGCCATTTTTTAATAGTTAATATCACGTGTTTTCTGCTTTGTCAAAGCGGGATATTGTTAATGATTTTGGCGATAACGGGATACCAAGTTTAAAAGCGGGACCCATGGTCACGTTACTTATCATTATGCGATATCGTTACACCTGTTTTTTAATTGCTAGTGAAATTTGCACGTGTTTCTGCTCTACATTGTTCGGAGCGCATGGTAACGCTTTAGTACAACACTCGTACAAATTTATATATACAAGATGTCCTGCGGCTATAGGACATGGAGACAATTAGCTAAATATTGAATAGGAAATTTAGCTTCATGACGACTATACTTTTACAATAAAGTTGTACTTCATTCAAACATTATTATACTATCGAGTTCTTTTTTTCTCGCGATTGTTACACATAGGAAATGAAACTATTTTCCAAATATACGCGATTTAAATCCGGAAAAATAGTTTCATTTCCTATTATTATACTATGTTACTTCAAAAAATAATCCTTAATTTTCTTTAGACGCTTTCGATTGGCATTAAAAATAAATTTTTTTCACATTTGTTCGGTTCGGATCCCAGATGAGGCAAGCAACTTTTTAAGTCTTTGAATGCAGTATTATTTACTTAAAATAAAATAATATCTCCATGAATCAAAATGTCCTATTCATATATTTAAAGTACTTTCCGTCCGTGTCGCATAACCTTAGCCAACCCTGTATATTATGATATAGAACATAGGTCCACAAAGTTTTTGGTTCACTGCCCATTTAGGCAAGATAAAAACAATTTCAACGCCCACCATGTAGCATCTTCTGGATAGCATCAGCGCTCCCAATTGTTTCCGAGGCCCATACCCTAGGACTCTTCAGCGCGCACTGGGGGACGGTAGGGACCATTTTGGGAAACTATGATATAGAATATGTTCTATATTTGCAGGTTCTACTCTCTCTGGGATACGGGGTACGCTAAGATCCATATCCCGATCATTGCATCAGTGTCAGAGCATCAACCCACGACCTGGTCTTCCTTCTTCTTCGACCTTCACGTCCTTGTCTGTACCTTCCCAGTTGGATTGTGGTACTGCATTAAGAATATTAACGATGAGAGGGTTTTTGGTAAGTTTACCTGGCATATTAAGCAACGTTTGCCATGTTACAGAATTTTTTAAAAGAAATAATTCTTGAAAATGCAATGTTCATACTTGTTCCAAGTTTTAGTAAAGGCTGTATATATTGTGACCAGAGTTATTTTTACAGATTTTAAAGGTATCCGAAATAACATTTTTATCACACTTGCTCACAAATAGTTGTATAATGTGCAGCAAAACCAGTCGGTATTTTTATCATGCAGCCCTAGGGCGGTGTATTTTTTTTTATTTCTACACTAACGCGAATACCCGCTGAAAACGCTTACAAACAGGCGGCTCGGCCGGGTGGCCTCAGACTCGCGCCAAATTTGCGCCGCTACCTCAAAAAGCTGTCTTTTTATTTCATTTTTAAACAAATAAATACAGTTGGCTTTATTATTTATTAAGACACATACTTATAGATACCACGGCATACACACATTCCAAAGAGTTTGTTTCATATTGAGTTCTTCGGTTTTTCGCTATTGATACACAGGAAATTAAACCTTTTTTGTTTTTTTTTCAAACAAACCACTATGGTCACGACTGACTCTTTTTTTTATCTCTTTCTTTTTTCTGTTAATACTTATTCAATGAAAAAAAATATTATTCTTTACAAAAGATTTTTTCTGAGATACTTAAAGTTTTGCAAACACAATACGAATAAAATATGACATTTTAAAGTCTAATTTTCCTTTTCTTTCACTTCCTTGGTAGTGTGATGAACAACATTACCTATGCCATATGGGCGGGACAGCAATTACAAATGTTCGGGTCATTGAAGCTTTTGAATATGTCCTATTGTTTGTAATTATCTACTTGCAAGCCTTCTATTCTAGTCCTAATAATGGTAATTGGATATTGCGTACAATAATAATAATAATGATAATAATAATAATCATTTATTTCCTATTACAATGGTATTGATCTTATAATAGATACATACAGAAGTTGAAATGACAACGTGTTTGAACATTGTGAGATATAATGATCATTTAAGTTGTCACCTGAACACAACTCTCATTATTTTTTTATTGTTTGGTAAACTCGTAAAACACGTACCACCGTATCGTATGATATTGAAACATGTTTCTATGATAAAAAAATATTTTCAAAATATTTTGTGTTATGATTTTCGTGGTGTATTAAATTACCATGTTATAAGAGGATAATTAGTCGTGAATAACAGAATGAATGATATGTTTTTTTATTCTACCGGCACTATTGTTAACAAAAAAATGCTTTTGTACACTCCAATTGAACTAAAAAAAAAAATAGAACATAGTATCTGTTGTTATTCAAAAGCACTCTAGCTAAATATTCCAATTGGATAACGTACATTTGACAAAACTTAATCAAAAAATGGCATATAAATCGATCAGAAAATATAATTCATCATTCATTTATTTGTGTAAACACAGGTTGCATAGAAGCTGACATGAACAAAATAATATTGTTCATATATAATGATTTTGTTTCACTATTATATAGTTTCACTTTGTCAAAAAAAAAAAAAGGCCAAACATTAGGCACACAAACATATTGAAGGTATATTATACATTCACTCACATGCACTACGACAGACTAAACCAGTGAGCTTAGCATGAGCCCGAAGACAAAAGTTATCTCTTCTTCGAACTGTCAATCTTCTCGAGATTTTCGAAAATTGACAGATCGAAGAACAGATAACTTTTGTTTTCAGGCTCATGCTAAGCCTGCTGGTGTAACATGTTTCTTTTTCAATAATATTACGTGGGCGTGCACACATGGATTTAATAATTCAGTCAGTAATCTAAACGCAATGATAGTTATATGGGTCAACAATTTTAATGTTAACTAGATGTCAATATAATAATAACACAGATAATACAATACAATACTAGTATAATAATAATAATAATGATTTGTTATTCAAAATAAATATACAAATGTCAAAAATTAGACAATCGATTAAAAATATTGTCATTTAAAAATTCAGACATTGTATAATATATTTTACTAGTAAATTAGTTGTTTTTAATTTTTTAATTAGCGTAAGGATTATCTCGGACCTTAGTACTTTAATTTATTGTAAATTTGTTGTTTTACAGTTTACTTCTACAAATTCTTTTGAATGGTTGTATAAATGATACACACTGTTTGAAAATAGTCATTGAAAATAACACGTGAGGTTAAAATTTTGTATTTCGGACAGTGGAAAGCGCAAATAGATCTACCATTTGATGATTTTTTTTGCTAAGGCGTATACTGTACGTACATACAGAATTATGAAACAAAAACCTTAAATTACTAGCTGAAATGTGGTCGTAATAAAAAAATGTTCGTAAAAAAGGTACAAAGATCAGCTGAAATATGATCGCTACAAAAAGGTGCAATCACCAGCTAAAAAATGTTCGCCACAAAAAGTTGCAATCACTAGCTGATACACGATCGCAAGAAAAAGGTGCAATCAGTACCTGAAATATGATCGCAACAAAAAGGTGCAATTACCTGCTGAAATATTTTCGCTACTAAAAAAGACTGCCATCACCAACTGTTTGTAACAAACAATTATATTGGCACGTTTTGCTACATCTTGCACAGATTATGATAAAGACCGCATATGAAAAAATTAATTCCATAACAAACAATATATTGGCACGTTTTGCTACATCTTGTACAGATGATGATATTTTTTTATTTTTTATTTTATTTTATTCACAATTAAAAAGTTTACAAAAAGGAACACAAGACAGCGAATAAAAACCATTAACAGATTGATAAAGGCCGCATATGAAAAAATAAATTCCATACATGTTTGTTTCTCTTCCAGTGGCCCTTTACGCGCTGAGCGCTGTATACTTCGCGGGAGTGATGGTTCGGCTGATGCTCACATTGACTCCTGTAGTATGCGTGTTGGCTGGTATCGCTTTTTCCATTCTGCTGGATCTCGTTTTGAGAGAGGATGATGCGACTGTCCCGCTTGTTGAGAGCGAGGAATCGAAGAATCTATTTGACAAAGTACGATTATTGTTTCACATTTTTTATCATATTTTTTGCTAAACCATAATATCATAAATATGGCGTTACTAATCTTTTTATTAAAAGAGTGTTCTGATACCACTTAAAATACACACAACAAGTATCTAGGGATCAAAGTTTTTTTTTTAATATTTGATTACCTTATTAAAATAAAATACAAATATATATATAATTTTATTACATTATATATTTATTATAATTCACAATAAAAACCAATGGTGTTAAAAAAAACCTGATGCTCAATAATTGGCAAAAACGTCTTTGATCCCTAGACAGTTTTGATGAGAGTAATTGTGCAAGAAAATTCATTTTATATTTGTTTTTAAATAAATGTAAACAAATATTTGCTTTATTTCTTTCTATTTAGTAGTAACGAATCTACCTTTCTTCACTTGGTACTTTGTGAATTGATAGGAAAATAAATCTCAGTTCTTTGGCAATGCTAGCAATACGTCTCTCATTCGTTGTTTAAAAGAAAAAGAAAATGTTGAGATATTCGACTTTTATCCCTCGTAAGTAATTCTCCTTGATCGCCATAAGCCGAGTCCCACAAACGCAGACAGAGATTCCCTGTCACGTACCACGTGCAATGGGAGACGTGTGTTAAGTTCAAACTTTTTTGTGTTGTTCACAGGCCGGAAAAGTAAAGAAGCGCTCCCATTCTCCCCCGCCGGCTCCGACCGACTCAGGACTCGGTATGAACGTCCGTTCGGGTACACTAATCGCCTTCATGATACTGCTCATGCTGTTTTCCGTGCACTGTACCTGGGCCACTTCTAACGCGTATTCAAGCCCTAGCATTGTGCTTGCTAGCTATGGCAGCGATGGGTGAGTGTATTCATAATTACAAAATTACAACGCTGTAAAGATATTTTCTCTTTTTTTGTTTTAGTTGGGCGTAATAATTTACCATTGTTCACGCTTGACTGTCACGTTTCCATCATTAGATGGTTAAACCTATTAAAAGAACAATGCCCATATTGGACCAGCAAATTTTGGTGTCGCGACCGGTTGAACAGTTATATTTATTTTAAAATACGTAATCAAATAATATCATCGTCATTTCTTGTATAACCATTAATAATTGTTTTGTAAATGACCTACTAAGGTGTTACGAAGAGCCAGTAATACACGGAAAAATAATAATAAAAAAATTGCGTTAACTGCAGCCCAAGCCCTTCCATCGTGTAAGGAAGCCTGTGCTCAGTAGTGAAACTACATAAAGGCTATTTATTTATATCTAAAAGTAGAGGTATTGGTTTTACACATATGTAAACGTATTTATTTATAATTAAGGCTATCAGCGCAAAAGTGATGTAGCCCACATCCTCCATCCTCCAAACCAGAACTTCAACCTCAAGTCTACATGAGAATATACCTAAATACTTTTTGTTTTCAATACATTTTTGTTTTTTTATATAATATGACCTATGACGGGTCGAATGTCAATTGACTACTTATTATATCTTACCACTGTTTCTATGTGGCTGCCTTATTAAATAATTGATAAAAACAATGTTATTCATCAGATCTCGCCGAATCCTTGATGATTTCCGAGAAGCGTATGGCTGGCTGTCACAAAACACCGCTGAAGATGCCAGAGTTATGTCTTGGTGGGATTATGGATATCAGGTAGTTTATAACTTTAATTTTTTAAATTTATGTTGCCAATTAAACTTGTAAATAATTTATAAGCACGAGAGTTGCTAACTCTTTGCAACAATTGATCTAACTATCTAGAATATTTATTTGGTGCTTACAGAATCTTACATAGACAATATTTAATAAATACTCTATCGACATATAAGTAATATATACCTCATAAATAATAACAAAAACAAAAAATAATGTATATTTTATGGTTTGACATATGAAACAAAAATAAAATATATACGTATACCAATTTAATATAAAAACAAATTTTTTTTCGTAGTTAATATATCGCTCTAATGATAGCACCATCACTATGTTCGTTTATTAGAATTACGAAAAACGTAGACAAAGAAGCAGTGATCATAAACCTTTTTCTTTTAATAACAAATAAAAGTCACAGTAAATGCAAACGTCGTGAGAATTGATAACCATAGGTTGGAAAAAGGTGTTCCAAATGTATAGATATAGCTACAAGGAGTGACATAGAGTTGTTAATACCACCAAATTTTAATTCGTTACTTTTTCGAATTCCGGATTTTCGGAATATTTATACATTTATCTACGTTTGTGGAACACCTTTTTCCGACCGTTATCGATGACAATATCATTTGTAAATAATGGACCGAAGGGATCGTGTACAGACTAGTGACTTACTGGGTATACATATACATTCTTTAGTACAAGTGCCCTTCGATGATGGACGAATGACTCTGAAGAAGCGTTGAGACACCAACTAATGAGTTTTTTAAAAACTGGTTATGCCATATTATGAAACTCAGTGCTTCTCTGCTCCGTTTGAGTAGATAACGGGACTTGAATATTATGATAACATAAATGATTATGTCTTAGACTATTAGAATTTAGGATTTTAGCCTAGAAATTAACACACATTAAATATTCTTGCAGATTGCAGGAATGGGTAATCGTACAACTTTAGTAGACAATAATACTTGGAATAATTCCCACATCGCACTAGTCGGCAAAGCGATGGCGAGCAACGAAAGTGCAGCATACGATATAATGACTGCGTTAGATGTAGATTATGTGCTCGTAATATTTGGAGGCGCCATTGGGTATTCCGGAGATGATATTAACAAGTTTATTTGGATGGTGCGAATTGCTGAGGGGGAACATCCGAAGGATATCCACGTGAGATAACATTTTATTATTTATCTACAGCTTGTTCTATTCTGTTGTACTATAACGCTGTGTCTAAGCCTGTACAATACAACACTAGGCAATTGGTTCTCATTTTCATGATTATTTTAGTAAAAGTGTAAATGTGACTATTAAGAAATAAATAATAAATATCGCGCATACACTCATAGCCTCGCACTAGGGAGACCCTGTATCGCAGGTGCCATGGACACACATATAGACAACCGCTGGATAATGACTTCAAACCCAAAAAATTTTAGTTTTTATGTATAATTTTCTTTACTCTGCAGGAAGCCGACTATTTTACAGAGAGAGGAGAATACAGAATAGATGCTGAGGGTTCGAAGATTATGTTAAATTGCCTAATGTACAAATTATCCTATTATAGGTAAGTAAATAATTGTCAAACTGAATCCTTGATTGGAATTTAATGAATGGAATTTCCATGTTGGAGAATGGTTCATAAAACAATTCGAAGGCGTGATGTCTTCAATAGCATCGGGATCTATCCTTAGCAAGCAGGAAGGAAATATATTTGGTATCGTACAGCATATCACAGAATTTATTTTGTGTTTGTTTCCGTTTTTTTTATTTTTGTTTTTTTTTTTTATAAAAAATAAGTGCTCATTTGACCTCTATCTCACCTGATGGGAAATGACGATGACGTCGACGATGTCACATACTCACCTAAATAATGCCTATTGGAAAGGTCCAAGTGATAGCGTTCGGGGAACAAGTTCGCAGGCAGGGAATTCCACTCCCTAGCCGCTCGCCACATAAATGTGGAAGCGAAACGGTTCGCGTGAATGCGGTGGAACCCCAGCCCACGTCTAGTCCCTCGATGGTGGAAAGGGGAAGGCGGAATCAAATTATGCAATTTCATCGCACACTTTCCGTTATATATCATGTAGAATACCGATAAGCAGGCAACTCTACAGTCTCTCAGTCAGAATGAAACGTTGATTATGACGTATATGTACGTATAAAAGGCAAGCCAATAGCAGGCATATTCAGAGCAACTAGCAAGTGTATACACACACGCGCCAACAGCAAGCAGATGTAAGGAACCAAATTGTGTATGTGTGTTTTGACCTTTACTGCCACCACCTGTAGGTGTACTAGTTACTGTCAGTCCTCATTTGTTAAATTTTTTATAGATATGATAGCGGAGGGAGTCCATCGGGGTATGATAGGACGCGCGGTGCGTTGCCGGGCAATCGAGGCTTCAGCTTGACCTACCTCGAGGAAGCATACACTACCGAGCATTGGCTCGTTAGAATATACAGGTCGGTGTATAACAGGTTTCGAAGCGATAATTATCGATAATTTTATTATCATAATAATTATTTCAATAATTGTACCTTGATAATAATATTGATATTTATAAAATTGATTGGAACAACAAAATGTGTTTGTATCTATACAATGTCAATCTCAAAAAAAGTCACAAACCAAATCGTTTTCCCAAACATTTTTCTTTGTGTTTACTTTTCTCATTGTTTGTAATTTTTAGTCAAAAATTAAATCGACAAGACTATGAATAGGTGTGCATAATTATCAGATGTATATCTGATAATTATCATGAAATTATCTTGATAAGTATTTATTAAAGATATATATATAATAAACATAGTTGATTAGGCAATGGTTTTCAAAAAAATTTTTGTTGTTCACTCAATTACACTCGATTAATCGATCGATTGCACTTTCATTGTTATTTAAATAGATACACCACCTGCTTCAGTATTATTGAGTAATTTTAGATAATCTTGGATAAATAAATAAAATGTTTTATTTGTTCATTTTACATAAAACATCTAATTCTCGATTTGGTAATTGTCATGCCCAATTAAACAGCGTTATAACAAGGTAAACAAATAGTGCACAATAAAATAGTGAATGTCTTAATATTATTGTTTATTTTTCAGGGTTAAAAAACCAGAAGAGTTCAACCGTCCTCGTATACCACTTGCAAAGAGAACGGTACCTTCGAGCAAATCTTTGTCTAAAAAGGTAAGAAAGCACCAGTGGCATGTTTTCATTATTTGCTATCATACACAACAGCGCTACAGTACCACGCCATTATTAAAAGTTTTACAACACATTATGCACCGATTGCTGGTGCAGATCGACACGTCACTTTTGCGTTTAGTTTGGACGCGCTGCTGAAGCGTTTTAACTATCGAGTGTATGGTGGCACTTCACATGGCTATTTGTATTTGCATATTTGATAAATTTAGCAAACATTCACCATGTGTAGATAGCAAGTGACAAAGTATTTATCTTGTTCGCCTATTCCACAATTACAGCAAACACTAAACACGCGTTACCGTGCGCTGGTCGGTTTCTTGACGCATATCAAAAGAGTCACATAGGCAAATAACCAAGTAAATCGTCCACGCTATGGGCAGTAAAATAAAGTGTTTACATACATACATACACACATATCAATTATTTTAAGGGCGCGTTCCTGTTATGTCGTAATCTTTTATTTATCGTTGGACGACTGTCGCGTCTAACCTGTTCCCCTATCACGACTATCTGTTGTGACTGTCGTGGACTTTTTTTTGTCGTTGAACGACGGTCATTCCTTACATGCCTAGCTGTTTCTAATGGATCGTGATGACAATTTATCGTTTCACGGCAGCCGCCTTATCGTTTGCAGATATGAGATAAAGATAAATAAAACGTGACGACGATAGCGATTATTTGTCGCCCTCCGGTACAATCGGTCTACTTCCCGATCGGTCCACTTTCACTATTCGTCTACTTTCCCGATCGGTCCACTTGTTTTTCCCGATTCGTCTATTTTCCATTTCGTCTACTTTCCTGTTTGGTCTACTTTCCCATTTGGTCTACTTTCCCGGTCGGTCTACTTTTCCGATCGGTCTACTTTTCCGATCGGTTTACTTTCCCGATTGGTTTACTTTCCCGATTGGTCTACTTTCTCGATAGGTTTACTTTAATGATGCGTCTACTCAGATCATCTCAGTACAGAGTACTAAAAATACCGACCTCAAAAGTTCGTATTCACGTTCTAGTTTGTCACTATAAAGATGGCATATTGTCTTCAAAGTTAAGTTTTATTTAAATATATTATTTAAATTTAAAAAAAGAATAATCAAAATCGGTTCCCTGATGCCATTGAGTTATCGCGTAGCGTACAAAAAAAAATACAGTCGAATTGTGAACTTCCTCCTTTTTTGAAGTCGGTTAAAAACAAACTGTCTACTTGATTTTGTTTTATCAAATCATGGTTAACGTAAAGCGGCTATCATTATCAAAAATATAAAATACAAATTGCCTTTGAAAATTTGTAAAACGAATTTTTTTTTTGGAAAATTTTATTAACTTGCACAAAATTTTATTAACTTGCAAAGTGGACTATTTGGACAAGGGAACCGATCGGGAAAGTAGACGAAATGGGAAATGGACGAATCGGTTAAAACAAGTGAACCGATCAGGAAAGTAGACGAATAGTGAAAGTGGATCGATCGGGAAAGTGGACGAATTGGGAAATTGACGAATCGGGAAAGTGGACCATTTGGACAAGGGGACCGATTGGGAAAGTAGACGAATAGTGAAAGTGGACCGATCGGGAAAGTAGACCGATTGTACCGAAGAGATTTGTCGTCACATTATTATTGTGACGTTTTATTTATCGTCAGACGACTGTCGTTCTAGCTCTGCCCATTGTATTGACAGTCTGTTGTCGTAACTTCAAAAAAGCCGTGAACGACATTTCAAAGTGTTTTTCTACATGTGAACAACGCCACGACACTTTAAACTGCACGACCATCTGTCGTTACGTCAAAGTGGGAATGCAGCCTAATTCCTCATTTCACTCCATGTGTCGACGGTCATATTTGTCAGTGTCTGTGTTTTTGTACGTCAAATATTTTTACAACAAATACCCAATATTGAATACAAATAGCCATGTGAATTGCCAGCAACGAAAATATCCGATCATTATGTTTATAGCACGAGACCGCCAAATAACTAAACTTAACCAATAACAAAAACTGAGCGTCTCCGTGTAATAAGGTCACAAATGCAAAGTGTTTATAGAGAGTTACAAATTTCACACAAAACATAATTTGTTTCATTTACTTCGTATTATTTTTTTGACTTTGTGATAAAAGCACTTTTAACGTATGATCACATGTGGCTATTTACGAAATTAATTTTTAAAAGCCACATCTATTTTACATAAAGGAAAAAATCCCAATTCAAGTAGATTAAAAACTAAATGACCTCTCAGCGTTTTCAGCGTTACATCTTAAATCAAATTGTATACATATCGGTCATATTGTTCATACCAGACAGTTTCATACTAAATGTTAATACCCACTAGGCCCACAATCCCTGTAGTAAAAGTCGTTCGTATTGACAAACAGAATTACACTCTAAAAATGTTATTCTGAAGAAAATCTGTTGTTTTCACATATGTAGTAAATAACACCATAGCTAAATATAATAACAACTTATAATATTCTCAGCTTACAGTAATTATTTTCGTATTGCAGAGCGAGTTAGGAGGTGGCTCGACGGTATAGTACAGTGTATATAGATTTGGGTTTACTTGTTTTCTCGTATGCTGTAGTTGTTCTTTTCGTTCGCAGTGAAATTTATGTGTTTTTTGCTTTTGGTTGTCTGTCAATGCATGTGTCTATTAGCGAAGGTTGAGGCGAATACAATTCTCAAAATTTACTCACTAAAGCGGAGAATTGAGATGTACTTAAACAACCTTTAGTAGCAGAGTTCGTCCAGGGAAGTACTGACGCTTTACCTATTTCTGCTGCCAAACGGTAATGTGAGCATCACTGGAAGGGTAAGGGTGCTGGTGAAATTACAAACTATGTCTTAGGATGTCAGATGCAGTGGCAGTGTCTCTCAGACCTTTGCGATTTATAGCTGTGAGTGGAATTGCAACTGCTATGGATAAGTGTGTCGCTTAACACCAGGCGCACGACTTGTTCGGCTCGTCACTAGGTATCGTAAAAAAACACTTGTAGCATTTTATGATATCCACTAAGCGGATAGGAGTTCCGATACACTATTGGTTGTTTTAATACACCTCTTTCCTGCGTTTAGTTGGTGTAAGTTCCGAACTTACTAATGTGACTTATAAGTGGACATAGTCTAAAGTACAAAATCAATTATTTTTCGGAAATAGTTGCATGGATGACAAAACAGCTACTATTAAATAGATTAGATCCCAGGTCCATACATTCAAAATTACAAAAAACAACGCTTGTATAAATAAATAATAGATATTAGACAACATCACATAATACGTTGTTCCGATCGCCACAGTAAGTAACTAAAGCATTTGTGTTATGGAAATCGGCCAGACCCGAGACAATATAGCAAAGATAGTTTTACTACATTGGCCCGGCCGGGAATCGAACACGGGACCTCATATATGGCGACACCGTGAAAACCAACGTGCAAGCCACTCGACAACGGAGGTCGCCAAAATGTATGAAATTAATGATTCGGGCTTACAAAATCTGTGTTGTACATAAGAAAACTGCACATACACCTCTTTTCGCTATATAGTAATGTGAAAGCGACACAGGAATCTTTAGATAGACCTGCGCGTACGTCTCAATGTCTGCAAAAACATTTTTTTTTGGAAAATATTGAGAGTTGGAGGCAACATAGCTTTGACTGTGAAATTTGATGTTCGCATTGTAAGTGTATGATTGAGCATTTGACTGTAGCATTAGACATAGAAACGCTTTTAGTGTTATATATTATGTTTAATTGAAAAAACTAAAAAATGATAGAATGACATAATATATTATTTTTTGTTGTCTGTCCTTGGCGTACATTTATTATTGGCGTTGTATTGTGTATATTCCCGGCAATAAATTCGGGTCAATTGCATTTTTCGTCTCCAGCTTTTCCAGGTTCAGTAACCAGAGTGGACCAATTTTAACGTTTTAGTATCATGTGTTTTCTCTAAACTGCCATTTGAGGTTTTGCATAAGAGTAAAAATGCTTTGAGGCAAAATAGTATTTTATGCAATCGTTGCATAATAAGGGTTTTTAAAGTCGAGTGCCTCGTGACCTACGTAATAGGTACGAGTTTCTAAGACCTAATTAAGTAATTATAGCAAACAACACTTTTTCTACAAGTAAATTAAAATAATGAAGCACAACCAACATTTAAAGATTATTTTGTTAAAATTCCATGACAACAAGCTCAAATGAAAGTGAAACAAATACAAAAAAAAAGAAAGAAATAGTAGGGTAATTTTCAGGTTAGTTTCTTCTGCATAATTTCAGTGGCAATTTTCATTATTTCAATGTACTTGAATATTATCATTATCGAAATTACTTAATATTTGAGCGTAGTATCCTGAAACATTATTTAATATTTCGCAATAATAACTCCAATACTTTAAATAATAAAAATTGCCACTGAAATTAGGTAGCGAAAACAAACTTGAAAATTAGCCCAGTGTCCGTGATTGGCCAAGATCCGCTTTTATTTTAACCAATCAGGAGGCAGTAGAACGTTTGAGTAGTGTCATATTTGATATTTTATACTGTTTTTAAATAGTTCTTTTTTAGTGAAATGGTTACGCCTTTGTACCTTTTATGTAAATTTTGAGATATTATTTAATAAAATAATTTGAAATTTTAATGATTTCACAAATATAGTGACGTTTTTCTGTTCAGGAACACAGTGACACGTTTGAGGAGATTCTTTTAATTAGCAAAATACGGCGTTTTTTTCTAAAACTACAGAACTATTATGAATTTTTTCAGTTCAGTAGCGAGTACGATATTTTAGAGAATTTTGGTTCAGTACTAATACAGCGCCTGTGTGATATAGCTTATGTAATTATAATTAACAGGAGTAGAAAAATACGTTTTTTACAACATATGCTAGGATATTCACTCTTTTATACGAGTGTTTATTTTAAGTATGAAACCGTTAAAATAAATAATTTTAACGGAGAATTAAACTGTTAATTAAATTGTTTTACTTCTTGCGATCAAAATTTGGATGGCCTCGTCGAACTAGCGTATAGCACTTTGTCGCTAGATGATGAGGTTTCAAGTTCGATTACCTGTAGAACCAATTTGGGGAACAGAACTATTTTATTGGTTAGTGTACCGGAGTTAATGTCGCTGCTTTGATATTCTTAATTTATTATGGTGCATTATTAAATTGTTTATAATATAATTATTTTTATTATTACTCGAGTTGTATCAGAAATGTTAACGACCCGAATTGATTGCCTGTGCATGTATTAAAACTTTTTGTATGATACTTCGCTGTCACTAGTTTTTTTTAATTCCGCAAAACGAAATTCCAAGTTTCTTTGAATACCATAAATTTTATTAAAGTATTTCGCTTGTAGTTGTTTTTGGGATTTAAAGTAAACTGTAGAATAAACATAATTATTTTCTCTAGACGCTGAAAAGAAGAAAAGGTTTGTTGAAGAACAAACCTACGATTGTGAAAGGCAAGAAGGTGACGCGATTGGAGTGACGACGACATCCGGCGGCGATCCGCGCGCGCACCACCCGCGTAAGGCACATGAGATGAATGGTCCAAAATCAGTGGTAAAATGTAACAGGGCTCTTTTGATTATTCCCACAAACTACCTATTTTGTTTTTATACTTTGTTAACAATTTTATTCATGATTCTGTGTAGATTTGTAGTTTTGCGTTGTAGTTGTGTAGACCTTAGAAGGGCGTGTGAGGAAATAACTGTCAACATAGTAATATGATCTGAACGACGTTATATGTGCTCTAATGAGTGGACCACAGATCGCACATGACAACTTATATAGTATTATCTCAAAAACTGCGTTATATTATATTTTATCTCAAAAATTACTTTATATATAGAACATGAAACCTAATATTGTCGTAACTCCAAATTGTAGAATTGACAAAACACATTTTGAAAATTAATGGAAAGAAACACTGAATGGATTTTATTGCGAATAATATGATTATTTATGTTTATACATAATACTTAATTATAAACGAGGATAAACATATGTATGGTTTCAATCAGTGTTTTTAATTTTCAAATCATGTTTACTCAATTCCACAATTTTGAGTTACGACCATTGACTTACAATTATGTGGACGTCGGGTCCGCGCTAAAAAGTGTCCGAACTTATAGGGCGTTAAAATCGTATACAGAGCGTCATTCACGCTCTAGTCTTCGTTTGTTCGACTGACAGCGAAGCAAGCAAAACTAGACAGTACTGCGATGACATTACAATTTAAATTCAACGTTTTAGCTTTTTCATATTCCTTTACATGTCACTACGTTTAAATAGGTTGACTTGGGACATTTTTTTCGTGGTTTTTGTATTAGACCCGTCGTCCATTTATTTGTAAGTCAATGGTTACGACAGTATTTTTCGTGTGCGATATATATGTCAATCGTATATGTTTTAATTTAAATGAAATCGAATACGAATGACATACATATGCAATTTTTGAGATAAAATATAATATAACGCAATTTTTAAGATAATGCTACGTTAGTTGTAATGAGCGGGATGTATACAGGCTGTCAAATCTTTTCATTGAATATTAGACCACACCGACATTCACATGTGGTTGGTTTCAATTAGCAATATCGAAAATTGACAGTGCGTGTATTTGAGTGTGTATGTACGTATGTTGATGATGTTATTCGGTGAATAATTTTAGTTATAGAAATCTGTAATAAAATATGGAAAGTTTTTGGGAATAACCTTATTGGGAGAATTCAATGTTATAATTGTGAAAGTAATATTTCTGTGCCTCTATTATGACTTTACAGTGACAGCTATAGCGGCGGAAAGTATTTGACAAATTTGTATGGCATATTGTACATCACCCGCAGCGGTCACAATAAGAACTAAAATGTTAAATATTTTACCATGTTGCTAGTGACGACTGCCACTGTAGAGGTATAGTTGACCGATTGCCAAGCGTTTATGTGAAGGAATGATAAATAATGTTGAGTGAATTTCAAAGTTTTATTTTTAATTGAAAGTAGTAACAGTGTTTTGCCGGGACTCCAAATGAGGCAGCCTCGTGGCGAGCCATTTAGTGTCGGTAAGTGTCCGTGCTCAAAGGTACCTCGGTGTGAGCCATGCGACCAGTGGAGCCAGAGATGGGCCGGGTGGGTTAAAACCCAATCCATCACCACCACCGAGTGTGTTAAAACCGGGTTTTTAACCAAAGCGCTGGGTTTAAACCCATTTTGTGTTTAAACGTGGTATAATTCCATACTTATTAAAAATTTCGATCTAAAAATATTTTTTAGACGAAAATGAAGTAACTCTAAGGTATTGCGTGGAGTTTCTTAACCTTACAATCGATTGTAAGGTGGGTATTGCTTGGAGTTTCCTAATCCTGTGAATTTCTGCTATTAAGGATGCACAATCCCATTCGATTTTAATGAAGATCGATTTAAGAGCATACGATCTAACGATTGCTTGTATAGATTTATTTCAATGCGATTTCAAGAGAATCGATTCAATAGAAAGGCAAATTGAGTCTTCTAGACCAGAAAGCAATAATTATTAATGTCATTAAATTTGAACAATACTCGATTTACAACAAATATTTTTAGTTGTAAATAGTTTTTGCCTTCGATTTAATGTGTTAATAATTTAACTCGATTTAAACCAACAAAGCGCCGGGTTAAAACCCGGGTGCTTGCCCATCTCTGGCGGTTGGATGTGGTCGATGCTCCCGGGCCACGGCAAGTGAGGAACTGATTCGGGCTGAGACTGCCTGCCTCGTTTATAGTGTAGGTTGGTAAGTGGAGATGCTGAATTTGCCGCAGCCTGAGGCATGCTCAGTACGAGGCAGCTCGTTTGGAGGCTGCGCAAGTGTAGCCCCGGCTTTTGACATCGCGATGTTTATCAAATCTATAATTATACTAGTTACGAAATAAGGTCCACCATGCTACAAATTAAACATGTATATATAAATATACGTATAGTGTTGCTGTTCTTTATATACAAATGTTAATGCATGAATGTATCCACAACAGATCTTATTTTTTACTAACTTAAATAAAACAAACAGTAATAAATCAAAATTATAGTACAAATTGGAATATTTTTTTTGAGCACAATTTTTATAAGGAAGGAGACTAACGTTATAGGCTCAAACATGTTGCATTTTTACGTGTTTTCAAATAAAATACTCGGATTGCACAATTTTCAAATGTTTGTTTGAAAACAAAAGAGTGACATCACCGCCTCAAAGCGTTGTACTAATTGGTTAACTCGTCACGGGTCTTAGAGACACACGGTGTCCCTAATGATTTTGGTACTATAGCGTTCTTAAGCTACACGGTGTCTCCTACGCGCAGTTGTGTTTTCATCCATCATGCTTTTTTAAATTATATATCTTATTTTCAAATAAAAAATGTATACCATAATTGTTAGGGACACCTCATGTCTCTAGGACGCCTGTCTGGTAATAAAAAGATTAAAAAGAAATTTCTAAGTTGTTTTTCCAGGTGTGGTCCTTGTTTTTTGTTTTGACAAACCAAGAATTACCAATAAACCTTAAGCAATTTGATTATAGTGGTGGGCTTTATTTTTGGAGTTGTTGCATATTTCCATATATTGCTGTAATAACGCTTCTAGGGTATACAGTAAGATGTGCATTCTTACCACTGATTATTAATAAAGTAATTGCGATCGACTGACACCAATTCTGTATGTATTTAGTCCATTAGATAATGTTTCTTAAGTGTTTTAGACTATTTAGTTGAAATTGATGCACGGAGTGCTAATTGTAACATGGGATAAGTTATCATTAGCCTATAGAAAACGGTTTTCAAATCCTAATTGAAATCCCAATAGCGCAAAAGTGGTATAATCCACGTTCAGTTTCTTTTGTACAATATAACTTTGAATGATTATTGCTTTATATTTGAATGCTATTTCATGTATAAAACTTATTCAATTTTTTTTATGTGCATGAAAATAGCATCCAAATAAATACCTGATACCTGCGACTTTGTCTACGTAGAATAACTGCTTCGAATGACCTACTGTACTATGCTAATTTTCATAGTTTTAATAGTTCTCTTTAGAAACTAACTCATCCCCTAATTATGAACTCTAATATTTATTTTTGTGACAAAAAGTGTCCTCTTAGGTCCTGTCTATCTCTATATCACAATTCATCACTATTGGTTCGATGATTAGCCGTCAACATAACAGACGGATTATGTTCTCAGTATTCAAGTAATATTGTAGAAAATAATTGTATGTGACTTACGCCCCTTTTGCGCTGATAGCCTCAATTCAAAATTGAAAAAAACAAGCACCGAGTCGTAAAATCACTTTTACAACATCGTCGCCTTACTTTCTCAAACTCGTATCTTAAGCACAAAGGTACTGAAATGCAAAAAATGGATTGTATATACAAATTTTGCAGGTTGATTCACATCCCGTTTCCTTCATATTTACACACTGGCTTTTACCTATTCTTTAAGTAATCTATTCAAATTAATACCATTGATAAGACATTTATATAATAGAAAGTTTTGCCATCTCCTGAATAATTCCTCTTTATAAGATACGAGTTTGAGAAAGTAAGGCGACGATATGTTTCTATTTCAAAGTGTGAAGAATTATGTATGTATATTATTTCAAAATATGCGGAATAATATACAGGTCTAAATAAAGTACGTCTGTAAATTTGTGACCTTAATGTTTAATTTTCAATAATTTCAAAAATTCAATCCTTTTACAAATTGTTCTTTTATCTCATTGTTTTGTAAGAAAGAAGAAAAAGAAATTGCGATTTGCTAGCCACATTGGTTACTTGAATGTTGTTAATTATCATGGACTTATTTAAGTATACTTGAATACTTAAATAATAAAAATTGCCACAAATTGAAATTAGGTAGAGAAAAGTAACCTGAAAATTACCCATTCATTCATCATTTAATTTGAGACGTACTTTATTTACCAACCTCTCAAAAAATATAATAATAAGTAATTCTTTAGATATTACGTTGGTGATACCCTAAATAACTGGACCTAACTTTTGGACGTCTTTAGAGGTCGAGCGATTCTGTGTGTGAAATGTGGAAATTCCTAACTGTTTACTGTACGTCGCTGATAATGTTTAAAGAGGTTAGTTAGAAGAAATTTCTTTATGGGATAAATTCGCCTTCGTACGCTAAACGTTTGTTAAAATTTGTAATTTGTTTTATTGAACAATAGTGTTTATATATATACATACAATGTGTGGTATTGAGTGCATTAATTAGGGTTATTTTTGACTGTATGGCAATGTCCACGGGCCATAGTAATTCAGGCATACCATTGACGTAAATAAATATTATTAGAAATTATGTAATAGACTGTTATAAACCTGTTAAGGTCAAAAAAGGGTTTAGCAAAAAGTCGGCAAAATATTATTAAATATTTTTATTATTATTATAATTATGTCAGATCATGTTCAGATTCGTACACTATTAAAACGTCGTTAAAAACTGAGCAGGAGGTGAAATATAAGTCAGAATAAAATGAAATAAAAAAAAGTCAGATATAAGTCGTAAAATAATAACTTGTTTTCCAAAGGTAATCGATTGAAAGATATGTAATCGATACCATAAGTATTATAATATCAAGATTCTCTTCTCACAATAATATAATCTAATTACAAAAAAATAGTATTTACAAAAAATTATATGTTTTTCTGTGCTGCCCCGTGGAAAAATACTTATTTTTTGTAAATATCTACGCTAGATTTTAATAAAAAAAGTGATTTTAATTCTACTGTTCAAATAATTGTGTTCATTTATTATGTCAAAAATCAAAAATAAAATTACTTGTGTCGAAACAAACG